ATGCGAACCCAATCAGTAATGGTTTTCTTTGGACCGCCTTCAGTTAATGACTCCTACAAAATAACATAGCATATCTACGAATAACTGTTTTGTAAACTTGTTAAACGCGAGTCATACAATTACCATATAATATTCCTCTATAATTCTACACCAAGATTCCGGTAGCACGGCATTTCTTTTTGGTCGAACTGAAAGCAGTTTCGTATATTGATCGACTGTCAAAAATTTCGCGAAACCACTGTCACCTCGGATGTCCATAACATCGTCGTTGGTGCAACTATACATTAAGCAAAGGTTCACATAGCATTATATGGTACCCTCTTTTAAAATAATGTAGTTCAAATACTTACGAGTACACATTATGTTTTTCCTGTTCTTTGTATTTTTCGAAAAGCGGAATAAATTCTCCGAAATACTGTTCAAAAAGAACCATTGAGCATTTTTCACACGTACCAACAGGTAAGTTCGAGCAATATCTTCAAAACAAATACCTTAACCCCATCCAGACTTGCTAGACTCTCAGCAGAAGCTCTACAGATGCTTTCCCTGTCTGGGATTTTTGAGGATTGCGAGATAGCTGATTCGAAAAGGTTTCCAATGATTTGGTGGGGTGGAGTTCGAGTTCCTTTTGCGTAATAAATAGGAACAGCTAAAATCTATGAATCAGGTATCTGGATAAGCAACAAAAAAAAAGCCTCCTTACCATCTTTCACGTCATTTCTACCTAATAGGCTGGGATAACAAGAATTATTACGGGCTATACATATCTCAAAGAATTACATTTTGTACTTACTCGCTTTGGGATCTTGTATGATTCTGATTCTCGATCCCATCATCAGTTTCTTCATGGGTCGTCTAAGAATACAAAATGATTGACAGATGCAGAATACAAGACACAATTAGGTGTAGTTAAAAACAAAGTAACACATCATTACCATGGGGGATTTTGCACTATCATCGAGGTAGTCACGGTCTTCGTCACTTTCAGAGTCGTCCTCATCTGGCTGGTCCTGTTCGTATTACAAAGAGTAATCGATTAGAATTTTGTTAGTGGTCAAACTTGAAAAACGTAGCCCACAACAATAAAACCCAATAACAGTTATCACCTTATGAGTTCTAGTACGTTTTGCTGTTTTGTCGTTATCATTATCGAGGAACCTCTTCGCGATGCTGGCGGTGGTTGACTTGGAGTATTGTTGAATTTGTTCTGTCGCTACTGTGGAAATGGCTATGTACTGGGCTGTCTGTGTACGGAAAATGGATCAAGAGTGAATGTTTTGGTCTAGCACGTTGGATTGTAGGAGAATGAGTGAAGTACCTGCAACTTCTGAACCTTCGCCTTTGCCTTTTCCTCAATCAACTTGTTCTTCATCATAATATTTTGGTTTTCATTCTGAATCTTCCAAAATCTCTTTATTATTGATGACCGTTTACTTTCCTATTAGTGATGATAAAAAAAAAGTTCTAAGTGAATGTGCCTAATAGACTTCGTTTGGTAATTTGTCCTATCCACATCACGAACAAGCAAGCACCCAGGTAGTATCATTCAATTATTGAATATCTATCTTTCGCGAGCACCATGGGTCCCAAAGTCCATTAAGCATAGCTCACCAACAGACATGACAGTCGTTCCCACTACAAACACGACGGTTTGCAGAGTAGTTAGTGTACTCAATGGTACAAAGAGTCTCAAGGTGGTTCGTGGAGCAACTCACCAACAGACATGACAGTCGTTCCCACTACAAACACGACGGTTTGAAGGGTAGTTGGTGTACTCAGGTTTCTGATCCAATAAAATAATACAATTGACTTTCCTTGAAATCATTTTTCCATTTTGATACTTGTTGGCCAAATGCTGATGCTTCGGCGTAAAATCTGCTGATGGTAGCTAGTTCATTATTATACCGAGTGTATTCAACTTTTGATTCTTCTAAGTCGCCAGCCGAAAGTCGAAAATCTAAAAATTTCTTGAGCGAAGGCGCATCCGTGCTCTCCCAAAAGGCTACATAATCACAAATGATAGGTTATGTTATAAAGCATTTTCATAAGAAAACGGGTGTATAGTTTGTCTTACCAGGATACTTCAAAGCAACAACGCACTCAGGAAGCAAGTGCATAATATCAAGCCAAGAAAATGAATATGTTTTAACGAAAAATTTTTATCATTTATGTACTACCCAAACTTATATATGATTGGTTAATCAAAAATTAATCAATCTCCATATCGTTCGCCCGTTCTGCTTACCAGAACTACTACCCGCCATATACTGGCACATCGACTAGTAATAACCCCATCATAAGAGATAGTTGGAAATACAATTGTAGAATAAGTTGTCCACCTCCCCAAAATACTTACATTATAGTCTTTTACGAGACTTTGGAACTTTTCCTTGCATTGGTATCCGGTGTAAGTGGTATTAAATTGCCTATTGATCTTATTTGCTATTCCAAAAATCCTAATACCCATGATATCATAATATTCGATGTTCCCAGTTCACATGATCCGCAACTCTGCTATGACTAAACTGCGATTCAACCACGATGCATATAGATTATATAGGAAAATTTCTACTACGATAACACCACGAATTAACTATTACTATAAATGTGAGTCAGAAATATACCAAAACACCTAAAATGATTCGTGAAAATATTTCACATTTATGCTTATTCCGGAGGCAGGAAGCCAAGATGACATCCATAAAATTGTATGCCAATATACAGATGATCCAAAAAAAGCATCTAAAATTATTGATAAGCATTTGAGGGATCAAAATTTTGTAGTTTTTGATTTTACTAAAATAGTAGATGATTCTTTAAGTGTATGGCTTGGTTAGGACGCACTCTTGAAATTAGATGAATAAACCAAGGTTTGACAATCAGATAATTATTTTTTCTATTATTTATTGTCACATTAATATAGTGTACATCCTATCTGCCACTTATATTTTTAAGCTGACTGAATCCTGTAATGTTTGAAGTTAGAGTAGATGTGAAATAATAACAAGTATGATCTATTATCTATAATAGGGATTTTTATGTCAGGTAAAATAACTGTGTAAAAATTAAGGTAAAAAATGTAATATGTTGTTAACTTGTTGTATGTTGTATTTCTTCTCAAACTGCTCATAATAATTGATAATGTTGAGCTAATTCTGAAGTACAGAGACCATCAGGGTGATACATATATTCAATAAATTTACATTGTATTATTGTACATGCTTGAATTTTCTTACCAATTTCTTTGGCACATTTAACCTTTTTGATAATATTCTGTTTCCATAATCCATATCGATGCAATGCATACTCATTATCATAAATGTATCCTGAAATAGATTTTTGTTCGATTTTCAGTAGACATTCATCATAACTTATACCACAAAAGATATTTCCTATACAATGGGTAGCCCAATGCCTCTCCATTCCTATAATAATAATTACCTATATTTTTGGTTTATATACTAATTGATTACAAGAAAAGCAGATTAAGATAGCAATACCAATTTCAGGTGCATAGCTTTTATAAAATCCATTAATCTCAGACCAATATGTTATTAATTTTCTGGTTCAAGATATTTTTTACTTTCATCTCCAGAAGTTCATCCCATTCAGCATCAGTACAATTGGTTTCACATCTTTCACTTAAGCTAGTCATTTTATACTACCTATTTAAACTTATTATTATTAGATTTAATAACTTTATACAATATAAATATGTGATTCAATTTTGTGCAATTGGGTTCTTGGACCATCTTCTTTGAGAGTATTATAATCATCATATTTTGCGAGTGTGTCAGATCTGACGGATATCGATAATAATCTTCCGTGATTTCGTTTTTATAGGATCTTTATTGACAACTACAGAAAACCGCTAAAGCTGCTTTTAGACAGCTAGTACATTAATATTAATGTGACTAAACTGAATCAATAAAGAAACTTGGCCTAGTGCCTGGTATTTATATAGTTAATTAATGTTAATATTAAGTAATGTAAATAGAAGGAGGAGAAGGTAAGGATGCTGTTATTTCATTGTTAATTATATTAGATAGTGTATGTATGGATGGCCAGAGCCGTGAGGAGAATAAAGAGCGGTGACTGAATAAGATATTTTTAAAGGATATGAATATGTCAGCAGGAATAGGTGGAGAGGAGGAACCAAAAGTGCATGAGGTGTATGAAGTCCATATTTATATTATCCAAAGGTATGAGGAAAATATTAATCAAATGATATGTTTTAGATTATTATTAAATGGGAAACAATATTGCGAAATATGCTACAGTTGGGATGCGTGTGACTGCGGATTTCTTTAAGTTGAGCAATGGGTGGTGGTATTGGGATCGTATAACCAATGTTTATCCTTCCTATTACGTTCCTTGTGATAGTGACTCGAGCGATGAGGATTGAATACTGGGAGTAAACTGTCTGTCTTTGTTAGCATGTCTTTTTTTGATCACGAATCATGAAATAAAGCGAATAGGTCATAACGACAAATATGTACATCATACCGATGGACAATTTCGACACCACATCACTTCCGCTTTCAGACGCAGTCATTTTACGGTAGAGGCACTCTGCGTAATGACTTTATAACATGTGCTAGGTTTAAAACATCTTATATAAGATTGCATTTTAAGCTGAATGGAGAAAAGTGATCTGTTTGACAGAAAATCTTAACTATAAGTTTGATTAATGAAATTAAACACATCAAATCATGGATCAGTTTTATTTATATTGTAAACCAACTTGAAGCTGAGCAATCAGATCATTAGGCATCATATGTTATAGCAAGAGTACGCTATCAATATTAATATGATCGTAGAAATGACTGATTCAATAAAATTTGTTGCGACTTTGGGTTTATAATTAAGGAAATCTTCATAAATTATTTTCATATTAATAATGACATTAAACGAGGTCTACTAGATTATGAGGAATTCTTTCCTGCGAATGAGATGACCAGGAGACATAACAAGACCATTATCACGTCCAATGTATCATTCTTTCACCATTCTGCGAAGGAATACAGTCTACTGTTGGAATTCAATTTTCTCATGCCTGGATGGAGAAAATTCACATATGTCTTATAAAGATCAGCGACCAGTACTTGAGTGACATTCTGTATCCTGGAAGATGAAGCCTATATTTAAAATTCCCCCATAAATTGGATATTACCTTTAACAAAACTTTGATAAAAAATATTCTTTTTTTTTTTTGAAAGAAAATAGTGACTGAGAAGTTTACATGAAAAAAGAATGAAGTTTTTTTCGCTTAAATTACAGTGAAGAAATACTATATCAAGCTAACAGC